ACAGGGAATCATCAAGTGATCCATCCCCTGTCGCCCATTTCCAGCTTCTGACAAACAGAGCTAGGGACCCCATTCGTACCCATCCTGGCTAATAGCCATTGATGGACCTTGTCATGATTAAATAGTCCTGGCCTTTGCAACATCCTCTAGCAAGGAGTTCCACAGATTGTCTGTGCATTGTGTGAAGAAACACATGGACAGTAAGATGGATAGAAAGAGGGCTAGAAGGCCGGGCCCAGCAGGTAGTGATCAACGGCTCGATGTCAGGTTGGGGGTCGGTTTCTAGCGGAGTGCCCCAAGGTTCGGTTCTAGGACTGGTTTTGTTCAATATCTTTATTAATGACCTGGATGACGGGGTGGATTGCACTCTCAGCAAGTTTGCAGATGACACTAAGCTGGGGGGAGAGGTAAATACAATTGAGGACAGAGAGAGGATCCAGAGTGACTTAGACAAATTGGAGGATTGGGCCACAAGAAATCTGATGAGATTCAACAAGGACGAGCGCAGAGTTCTGCACTTGGGACGGAAGACTCCCAAGCATTGTTGCAGGCTAAGTAATAGTTCTGCAGAAAAGGACTTGGGGGTTACAGTGGATGAGAAGCTGGATATGAGTCAACAGTGAGCCCTATTAGGTTGCATTAAGAGTAGCATTGCCAGCAGATCCAGCGATGTCATTATTCCCCTTTATTCGGCTCTGGTGAGGCCATATCTAGAGTATTGTGTCCAGTTCTGGGCCCCCCACTACAAAAAGGATGTGGATGCATTGGAGAGGGGTCAGTGGAGGGCAACCAAAATGATTAGGGGGCTGGAGCATATGACCTATGAGGAGAGGCTGAGGGACTTGGGTCTGTTTAGTCTGCAGAAGAGAAGAGTGAGGGGGGATTTGATAGCAGCTTTCAACTTCCTGAAGGGAGGTTCCAAAGAGGATGGAGAGAGGCTGTTCTCAGTAGTGACAGATGACAGAAAGAGGAGCAATGGTCTCAAGTTGCGATGGGAGAGGTCCAGGCTGGATATTAGGAAAAACTATTTCACTAGGAGGGTGGTGAAGCACTGGAATGGGTTACCTAGGGAAGTAGTAGAGTCTCCATCCCTAGAGTTTAAGTTTTGGCTTGACAAAGCCCTGGCTGGGTTGATTTAGTTGGGATTGGTCCTGCCTAGGGCAGGGGGCTGGACTTGATGACCTTCTGAGGTCTCTTCCAGTTCTGTGATTCGATGATTCTATGATAAGCCGGAGCCAGCTGACCCTTCTCCGAGACTGGCTGCTGCAGGTTTTGTTGGTGGGTTTTTTTTGGCTGTGCAGACATACCCTTAGCCATGAGATCATCCTCCCCTCTCTCCTTCCCCTTTCCTCCTCCCATTGCTGCCAGATTCTGCCTCGCTCTTTCTCATGCCCATCTGCTAGAACAGGGGTGAAGAATCATTTTTGAGTCACGGACCGCTGACCCACAGAAAAATCAGTCAGGGACAAGTGAGAAGCAAAGAAAAAAAAACATGGCTGAGGTGGCCCCTGACTGAGAAGGAGAAAGACACTCCCCGCATTCCTCTTGCACACTAGAGCCTGGGGGGCAGAGTGGGGGGCTCACACTAGTAGATTTTGTGTGCATCAGTCTCACAGGGGTGCAGCAGGGGGGCTGGAGCACAAGAACCCTGAGCCTCAAGGGCCGGATCCAGGCAAGCGCGGGGCCGGGCCTCAGGTTTCTGTGCTAGAAGAGCCATGGAAAATGCGGTGAGAACAGGGCTAGTCCCTCCACACTCCCCTCCCTCCTGCTGCTCCCCTTCCTCTGTTCCCTGCCACGCCAGACTGGCGTGTGCTCACTGGCATACCTGGGTCTGCTTGGGCCCTGGCTCCATGCTCCCTGTGAACAGACGGCAGGGGCAGAGTGAGGATCTGGCTGGCAGGGAGAGCGGCTTGCAAAGACCCATCTGGCTCCAAGCGGCACTGCCAAGACGCGAATGAACTCTGCCGTACCGAGCGAACGGCATGACGGGGGAGGCGAAGGTGACAGATGACATGGGTAAAAATCCCCCTCCCCTATCCCACCCTACCCAAAGCATCTCACCCTGCGAGGGAGGACGTGTTCAGAAAAGGTTACCACAGGCATGAGGCTCAAGGCCACCAGACACCAGTCTCTTGTTGGTATTGGCTCTCCAGAGCATGTATATAGATGGGGGAGCCAGAGAACGTCACAGAGTCGGTCAGTGTCCAGCAGCCTATTCTATACTACCAAGCAAGGGCCACCAACTATTGCAGACTTGGCAGCACTGCAGAGGGTCCAAATAAACCCCGTTCTGTGAGCAAGAGGAGGGACATGCCAACCTAGGTCTTGAATGATGGAAACCTGCATGCCAAAGAGCCAGGGGAACATGGGTTAACCTGAAGCAGCTCTGGTGTTGCCGTGGCAACAGAATCTCTCTGCATGGGGTGGAAATGGGAGGTGTAGCATCAGCATGGGGTGGGGCTTCCTCTTGGCTGTCATTGGGGAAAAATGTCCGGGCACCAGAGACAGAGCCCTGAGCCCCAAGGCTTTGCCTGTGTATGGAGGAGGCAAAGACAGCAGAAATCCACGTGCAACCTGCACTAAGGCCAAGCTACACTAAAAGGGAAGGTCAAATCAAGATACACAACTCCAGCTACATTAATTACATAGCTGGAGTCATGGTACCTTGTTTTAAGTTTCCCTGTCATCCCCACAGTGGGAGGCTTAGAGCAAACACTCTCATCTGCTTCCTTTATTCCTCGCAGAAGCAGGAATACTGTCTGCTCTGAGTTTGATTTAGCGGGACTTAACGAGACTCACTAAATCGAACTCTGGAATATCGATCAGCTCACAATGGTGTCGATCTTCCATTTATTGAAGTCATGGCCTTAGTGTGGGCCTTTGGCCCCTGCCTATTCCACACAAGAGGTCTAGGAGTAACTACTGCTTCCAGCTCATAGGCTTGGCCTGTTAGCTCCAGTGGTAGAGACTCATGTGCTTAAATTTTAAGGTCCTGGATTCAAACACTGCTGTTGACCCCTTGGTTGGCTCGGCTCCCAAAAGGCAGCTGGAGGAGAGCGGGCTCACAGAAGATAACTCTGTGGGTTGGCATAAAGTTCTTACTCTACAATTTATAACCCTTATGTGATCACGAGCAGCCAGGCATGGACTCCTTGGTTGAAGCCATTGCAGCTCTGTCTCTTTCCTCTGGGCTAGAGGGGAGACGTGTGGGGAGGGGAAGATTGGGAGTAGCAGATTCAGTATGTCTGATTCACCGTGGGGAAATAGAAGCAAATATTAACTGCCTGGCAAAGAGAAGTCTTTATGTGAAGGAGAACCAAGACCGGACTGAAGTCAGTGGCGCTAACACTGATTTCCACAGTCTCAGGGTGATGTTGGAGATGCCCTCTTTTTCCCCACCAGAGCTACAGCAGCAAATATCTGGCATGTCTTAGACACTACTGCACCATAACTGATAGCGAACAGTTTCATGGCAACTGACCATCACAATGTCACTTATCCATGTTCTCTCTTTCCATAAACTGGGAATAATCACTGAAATGTCACAGTGGCTGGGGAGGGGTAGCTGATGGACAACAAGGCTTTCCAAACGAAAATATGTGTTTCTGCACTAGGAGGAGTGTCTGATTAAAATGCCCAGGTGAGACCCTATGCATTAGTTGTGTTCTTCTGATGGAGTTTCTGAAGGAGCACTCTGAAAACTAGTTTGTGAGCATTGGATGCATGTGTCCTACTCTTCCCCCTCAGCAAAAGAGGTGGCCCCTGTGAGAATATTTAGGCTTCTGATTTTTTCCCCCTACAGGGAAAAAGAATGAGCAAAGGAATCTTTTGCTCACTCTCTGCGGAGAGACTTTTTAACTTTGGCTTCACGCCAGTAGACTTTTTGCTGTGATCAAGACTTGAGTCCTTTAGTAGCTCCCCCATCCCCAGGGTCACCTTTCGGATGGCTCCCAGCTTATTCCTCAGGTGTGGTATTGAGGGCTGTGTTTTCAAGGGCTGAGATTCCCAAACAATGCACTGGGCAGCTCTTGTTCTGTACAGCCGGCTGGTACTGGGTGCAGAGTAAAGCAAGGCTCTTGCAAACACGTATGCATTCAGTGATCACTGGAGACCCCCACAGGCACATTGATTCTTTCCATCTCTTGTCAAAACCTGTATAAACTATCCTGTATGTAGGGATTGCCAGATTGGATCATACCCAGCAGGGCCTATCTCTCCTAATATCTTGTCTCTGGCAGTAGCCAGTACCAGCTGCTTCAGAGAAAAACGCCAGAAAACCTTTAGGATGATTGGATAAGTAGCACTCAAGGGATGTTAATTCCTAGTGCCATTAGTTGGTTAATGCCTTGAAGCTTCAGGGTTAATATCCCTTCCAGGATTTTGGATTATTTTACTAATATAACAAAGTCGCAATTTGCTCTAATTGGAGACGCTGATTCTGAATTCCCTTGACTTAATTTTAACCACTTAGTTCTACGTAGAGATGGGCCCAAGGTGGGAACATTCATATCTAGGTCTAAAGGGTCCCAAGGGTCAGGAGGAACGGAGATGCAGAATCTTTGCCAGATGCCAAACTTGGAATAGGCTGGAGGATGATGGTTATGAGGTTTCAGTTGAGCCAGATGAAGAAATGGATCATTGTTATTCTGATTACAGTAGCACCTGGAGACTTCTGGAATCATGGCCCCATTCTGCAAGGTGCTGTACGTTCAGACGGTCTCTGCCCCGAGACGTTTACAAGCTAAACAGACAAAGGATGGGCAAAAGCAAGAATTATCAGCCCCCATTTTATAGCTGTGAGGCAGAGAGATTAAATAACTTGTCGCACAAGGAGTCTGTAGAAAAGTCAGGAATTAAAGTCAAAGCTTCTACATGCCAGACCACAAGACCACACTCCGTGCATTACTTCTGGGGCCAGATTAAATCTGTATTTCTCTGTCTTTTTGTTGGCCGCTTGCATGGTTCTCTTCTAACGTGACCTGTTGCTTTGGCTTTTTCAGGAACGACCTTGAGAGGAAACCTTAAAAATGCAATGGAGTGAAAAAACGAATCATCTTGGGAGGAAGAAAAGGAGACATTCTGGTTAAAGGAGCAAGAGCCACTCAGCGCATTATGCCTTCTTCTCCGGGGAAAGCCAAGCTGTGCCGCCTTCAACGGAAACAATAACGCTGCTGGGAACGCCCCTGAATGGTCGAAGTGGTTTGGGGTGGGGGTTTTCTGTGTTGGGGGATCCTGTTTCCACCACTCCTTCTCCCGGCGGGAAGTTCTGGATGTACCCTGTGAAAGTTTCTACCCTGGAAGGAAGTCGGTCTTGCCAGTTGAAAATGAGACACTTTCAGATGAACTTGCTTCTCATCTGTGTGGCAACAGCCACCGCAATCCCTGTAGTGCCCTGGCGGGTCAAATGCCCACTGCAGTGTGTGTGTCAGATCAGACCGTGGTACACCCCCAGGTCTGTGTACAGGGAGGCCGCCACCGTGGACTGCAATGACTTGTTCATCTCCGCGGTGCCCACCAGCTTGCCAGAGGGGACACAGACGCTGCTCTTGCAAAGCAACCGCATCGCTAGGGTGGACCAGAGCGAGCTGGACTATCTGAAAAACCTGACGGAACTGGACCTGTCGCAGAACAGCTTCTCCGACATCTGGGACTTCAGTCTGAAGAACATGCCTCAGCTGCTAAGCCTCCACCTTGAAGAAAATCAGCTGGTGGAGTTGTCGGATAACAGCTTCTCTGGCCTGGCCAACCTCCAGGAGCTCTATCTAAACCACAACCAGCTTCGTAGGATCTCCCCACGGGCCTTCTCAGGCCTCAGTAACCTCCTACGACTCCACCTCAACTCTAATCTCTTGAGGACAGTTGACAGCCGCTGGTTCCAGGTGCTCCCCAACCTGGAGATCCTCATGATCGGAGGCAACAAAGTGGATGCCATCTTGGATATGAACTTCAGGCCTCTGTCGAACCTGAGAAGCTTAGTGCTGGCTGGGATGAATCTGAGGGAGATCTCAAATTTCGCCCTGGAAGGGCTGAGAAGCCTGGAGAGCCTGTCTTTCTATGACAACAAGCTGGTGCATGTCCCCAAGCGGGCGCTGCAGCAAGTCCCTGGCCTTAAGTTCCTGGATCTGAACAAAAACCCTTTGCAGAGGATCAGGCAGAGCGACTTCATGAATATGCTGCACCTCAAGGAGCTGGGCCTTAACAACATGGAGGAGTTGGTTTCCATAGACAAGTTTGCCTTGATCAATCTCCCTGAGCTGACCAAACTGGATGTGACCAACAATCCCAAGCTGTCCTTCATCCACCCCAGTGCTTTCCATCACCTGCCCCAAATGGAGACACTGATGCTCAACAACAACGCCCTAAGTGCCTTGCATAAGCAGACGGTAGAGTCCCTGCCCAACCTGCAAGAGATCAGCATCCATAGCAACCCCATCCGCTGCGACTGTGTCATCCGCTGGGTCAACAGCACGGAGAACCACATTCGCTTCATTGAGCCCCAGTCCACACTGTGCGCCGAACCCCCGGACCTGAAGAAGAGGCACATCCGAGATGTTCCCTTCCGGGAAATGACCGACCGGTGTTTGCCTCTCATCTCCGCCAAGAGTTTCCCCTCCCACTTGCAGGTGGCAGACGGTGAGAACATCTCACTACATTGTAGAGCCCTGGCAGAGCCAGAACCAGAGATCTACTGGGTCACACCTTCTGGGGTCAAACTGATCCCTTACTCGGAGGACGGGAGGTATAAGGTGCACCCTGAAGGGACGCTGGAAATACGCAAGATAACTGACCGGGAGGCTGGTCTCTATACCTGCGTGGCCCACAACCTCATTGGTGCTGACACCAAGAGCATCAGCCTGATGGTCAACAGCTCCTTCCCTCTCAGCATGGACAACCTGGAGCTCCTGGTGAAGGAAGTCCAGGCCTACCACATCCTTGTCGCCTGGAAGCCCCACCTCAACACAGTCTCCTCCAATCTCACCTGGTCCAGCTTCTCCTTCAGCTCCAGTATGGATGTGACCAACGTGGCCCGGATCCCTGCAGGAACCCATGTGTATAACATCACCCGGCTCCACCAGGGCATGGAGTACTGGGCCTGCCTTCACGTGGCCTTCGTAAACTTGCAGTCCAAGGTGGCCTGCGTGAATGCCAGGACTAAAGAGGCTGGTTACCGGTACCAGTACCTAGAGAGCAGGCAGAGTGTCTTGACGGTGCTGGCCCTCTGTGTCTTGCTGCTTGCTGTCAGCCTGGTGGGCCACTATGGCTTTGGCTCCTTCAGGCCACAGCCTGGGAGCCCTGGGAAGCTGCCCCTGCACTGTCTGCCCTGGAATCTGGGCTCCTCCTCCGTGCGTGTGATCTACCCTCCTTTCATCAAACACTGGGATCAAGGCAGGCCTGGGGAGAAGCTCCTTGGCGTAGAGGTGCAAGCAACGCCGCTGGACTCGTGAAGGTCGTCCCTTTGGAGGGGCGTGGAGTGGGGGTGGCGGTTGCCGGGGTGGGGGAGCAGGCAAGTGGAACTATTTTTTACCAAAAATAAGAAGACTTGACTGACCAACGAAGAGGGACATGGCCAACGTCCCAGCCTTGCGGTGCCTCTCTGCCCCCCAGGCGTCACCCAAGTCACCCATCAGCATTTGGCCAAACAGATTGTTTCTCTTACAGACAACCCGCTATTACGGGATTGGGAGAGGTTCTCAAGTGAATCTTTGGCATAGCGAGGGACAATGAAAGGCAACGCCCAGAGCAGAGAACATGAGCAGCCATATGGTAGATCTACAGAGGACACCGAGCCCCCGGCAGCCCAGCTCTGACATGCCCAGCTGTTAGTCCATTAGCCGGATGGGCCCTGTCTTGGAAATACACAAAGGCCTTTCCCTTTGGGACTTCTTTTGTGTGTATGTGTGTGTGTGCGTGTGTGTATGTACAGCCATAGATAACCGAGACTCAAACCTGCCAGCCCTCTTATTCACTCACCCGCTCAAGGAACAGAGTGGGGAGAGGAGAAGATGACCCTTGGGCTAAGGAAACAAGGATGAGATGTTGTATCTCTGAATGGGCTAGTGACGCCTTCCTGGCTCCGACTGAATTCTGCTGTGAAGAGCCAATCGGATCCTATAACCCAAGAGCTTGATTTCAAGGCTATTTTATAAACTTTTGTGGATAATGTTACAAAAAAAAAGAGGAAATTCTTGCTTTTCTGTTTTTGTAAAAAAAGAGAAACAAAAAAACCTTTGTACCCTGGTCTCTAGTTCGAAGGCTCCGTGCTAGAAAAAACATTGCTGAATGGTAGGGGTGGGAGGGGTGGACGGGCAAAATCTCTGAAGGGATGGAGGTTCCAGGAACACAGTGTCTTATTTCCAAATAGCTGCACTTTGCTCTCTGCACGTGGCCCATTGCATAACTTGAAACATCCCGAGAGATGAGAGTGAGAAGAGGCTTTATGGGGGGTGCGAGGGGAATAAATATTCTGGTCTTCAATGCTGTCATCACCTCCCTTTCTCTGATGAGCAATTTAACTTGCAAATGAAACATACCCGTGGACAGCATGAGTCCCATCCCCCCACCCCCATCTGTTTCTAATTATGCCATACCAAGAGACGATGCCTTCCGTAGAATTTCAAATCAGTGAGCTTGGGAGAGTTGGCTTCCCTTTGCTAGTGGTGTATGGATGTTTTTATTAAAAGCCTCATTTGTTTACTTTTAACTTTCTAAGGAGCCTTTAATTGGGGGTGGGAAATCAAATGGAAAGAGAAAGGAAGAGACAGGTGAGCTGGTTGCTGGAGAAACAGATGGATAGCTAGAGAGTGATGGAAAGAAGCCATCAGAAATGGATCAGTGTAAATAGACAACAAAATAATTTTCCCACCATGAAGTATAAAGTCCATGGTTATGAATGTTGCTTTTTCTTTCTAAATCTGTGCAAGAGAGTGGTCGTAAGGGGCCAGAAGACAAATGATTTGGTTAATGTATATCTGAGACCAGCACCTACAGTGTATTAGTATACTGAGAGTTTTAAATTAAAAGGCATGGGAAGATGAGTAGCAACTGGAAGTACAGGTTGAACCTCTCTAGTCTGGCACTCTCTAGTCCAGCATCATCCGTGGTCTGGTATGATTGTAGTTAGCCAGATGTCCACTTATCATGGGTGTGGCCACATTTCCTACAGCCCCATAAAGTTTGTTTACAGCCACCAGTCCTGGCTCTGTGCTGTTTAGCTTTAAATTACCCTGAATGTCTTCTAAGAGCCCAGGAAGCAGTGGAAGTGCTGGTGATTCTGCGAGACCATACTGACCTCCCATGGTTCGGCACCCGTCAGGTCCTGAGGGGGACAGGTTCAACCTGTAGCCACATGTATTGGCTGGTCTTCTGCATCTTTTCAATGACCTGTCCTCGTACATGCTCTGACAGCTGGAAATTCAGCTAGGACCAAAGCCCTTTGAAGTCAATGGGTTGTCAAGCAGGACCTTAGAACGAGAGTGACCAGTCTGCTGGACATTATCAGCCATCCACTGAGGGGCATGCGATGCCCATTGGGAGAATTAAGGAAGGCTCTAGCATTCTCATGTACAGTGCTTTGATGTGGTAGAAAGGCATTGGGAGAAAAATCTCAGCACAGATGTATCGACATCAAAAACCTACTGCAGACGTTGGCATGGTTGGCAGTCTAATCTTAGTTAGGAGAAGGCCAGGGCTGGAGCCGCGGGGAATGCTGGCATTCAATAACTGGGTGCCCTGGCAGAATAGCAAGTGGGTGAGGACCCTGGACTGGAATAGCAGGGAGCTGCATGTCAGGACTGAAAGCACCTGAAGGCATTTGCAGAGGAATGTTGCCCAGCATCTCCTGGGATGATAAATCCCTCCCTTTGCTCCAGAACCAATTCTGTTCCCTGAATTAAAATGTACAGTGACAGAGGGAAAAGTTCAGCAAGATGAGCTGGAATCCCCTGCAACAAAATCTGACATACCAGCAAATAAACAAGACCCAGAGGCCAACGTGTACATGGCTACGCTTTGCTGGCGCATCTATCAACGTAACAATGCCCTTCCCTTTTAGGAGGAGCTCTGAGCTGATCAGAGAGAAGAAATAAAACTTAGACCGAGAGAACCTCGTGGTTCTCCTGCATCCCCAGTCGAGGAAATAATGGCAGACAGCTGCCATGTGTGTGTGTGTGCGTGTGTGTGTGTGTGTGCGTGCACATACATGTGTGTGTGATTAAAAGTGAAAATGGCATGAGATGTGAAGTCCCAGCCTCCGTTATTCGCTAGGTGAAAGGCAAAGCGAGAGATGAGATGAAAGAAGCCACTGGGAGTGTGTGCGCATGTGTGTGTCTTGCTCTCTTGTTCACACACACAGCTGGCCCCTCTACTCCGCAAGCACCGTGGGTCATAGTCAGCGTCAGTGGATGCACACACATTGCTAAGTGGGCCCTGGCTAACATGCAGGCACAGCTTCCTGTTAAGACCCTCAGTCAAGGGCACCCTGCCCTGCTTGCCCCGACAAAGGAACAGAGGCAGTCGTCTCTCCAAGTTCACCAGCCACACATCCCTGCAGCCCTCCCAGCTCTGTCTTTGCCCTGCATTTACAGGGAGGGGGTTGGATGCCTTAAGCCACCTGTTCAAAGCCATCCCTGCTTTACAATCCCCTGAGAGTCTGCTCTCCCCTCCATTTGCTGAAAAGAAGCCACTCAAATGGAGATATGAAGAGACTGCCACCATCTCACGATGCAAAACCCATCACTGCATAACTGACCACCTTAGCAGAGACTCCACGGATTGAATGGGACAGAGTCGGAACTCCTTTCTCAAGCCCAGAGGTGGCTACTCCGGGCTGGGTGTGAGGTGTGCTGGTGGAGTAGGCTGGGAAGCTTATCCGCTTCATGATGGTTGTAGTTCCTTGGATAAACAGAAGCTTGAAAATTACTTCATTTAAAAAAAAACAGCCCTGACATACTGCTCCCCCAGTGAGCCCTTGGGAGAATGCACAAGAAAATGGCACAACCTCCTCAGCAAGACAGCCCTTCCATACACCTGCTCTGTGATGCAAGATCCTTCCCATGTCACGCTAGAAGGACTATTTGACATGGTGGAAGAACACTGAAGAAGTTACAGACATCTTCAAGTGAGGGGTTCTATGGCTCAGTGCCTAAGCTCAGATTTCGATTCCAATCCCACATCCCAGTACGTGTCCCATGTCCCGCGCTGGCGGGTTTGAAATCAAGATGAGAGGTTTACAGCTTGTCTCTCTCTCTCTCTCTCAGCTTGAAAGTTAGGAGTGTTGTTCCCCAGATCCTCTTGCACAGCTGGGACTGGCACCATGGTTCTGTTTCAAACATCAGAATAACAGGCTGTTCCCCACCAGGCAGACACACATAACAATTACTATGTCCCTGTCCCAGCTGGGAGCAGGGGGCAGGCGCCGTGGATACAATGCCAGAATAACTCATCCCACGCAAAGCACGCCCCTTTGATACCACTGCCTGGAGGCTGCCTCTTCCTGGCTGAAATAAAACGCCAAAAAAGTAGAGAACAGTTTAATTCTCAAAACCATGGGAAGAATCTGCACACTCGTCCATCCTGAATGAAACTGGAGCTTGCACCTCTCATGGGGGAATTGCAAGACCTTGTTAACACTTGGATGTTAGCTACCAGGGCAAAGGGCTAGCCTAGGTGTGATTGACACCAGAGGAAGTCACACATGGAAACGTCCGTGCACTAGTGGCAGGTCAGCACTGAAAACTTTTGCTAATGTAACAACGTCAGCAAGGGGTGTGATTAGTTTTATGACATTTTTGGACCATTGTAAACACAGGGACAAAAAAATGGTTTTGCCTGTATAGCCAAGTTTGTCTGGGGGACTGGGGAACTTATAGTGGCAAGAACACTCTTTGGCTGGTATAAACTAGGTCTACAGTAGAATGGCTTTGCTGGTCTAGTGGTACTGATATAATTATGCCAGCAAATCTTTCCAAGGCTTTGTCTACACTGGGACGGTTTGGCGACAAAAGTGCTGTCAACATGTAAAAGTCACCGAAAGTGAAAACCGGTCAAACCAGGTTTTTTTGCCTCCCATTGTTGGCATTTCATGGCCACATTGCTAGCACCTTGTCGACATCCCACAATGCAGCATGGTGGGAAGGCAGAGGTGATCCCTGCATTTCTTGGGATTCCTTCCTAGCTCTGTGAGGAATGCCAAAGTAGCACAGCAGTCTCTGTAACCCTGCCGCTGTGTTCCTAGCAGGGCAGAACAGGAGCATTCTAATGATTTGCTCTTTTTGTTTGTTCCCCAAACAGAGCAGCTCACCCAGCTGTCAGATAAGTCCCAAAGCTTTGAAAGGGGAGGGAGGTGCAGGCCTGCAGGGCAGCAGAGATCACAGAAAACTGAGCACCACCATCACGCCAGGCATTATGGGATACTGACAGAAGCCAGTTCTCTCAACAAAACAGAGTCCACACTGGCTCTTTGGCCATAATAAAGGGAGAGGAAAAGACAAAAGTCTCTTGCAGGGCTGGAAGTTTTTTGTTGCCAAAACTGGGTGTTTTTCCTGACAAAAGTTGCATTGTAGTGTGAACACTCTCACAGTTTTGGCCACAAAAGGCAGTTTTTGGTGACAAAATGTGCCAGTGTAGACTAGAGCTTTGACAAGGCAATTAAATCTAAAAACAGTTGCATATTTCCTTATTGAGCAGAAGCTTTCACTCAGCCCTTATTCCATATGATGCTTCTTACCAGTCACAATTCAGCCAACCGACACTAATCAGCAAAGCACTTAATCGCATGCTTAGGACCCATTGAAGATTTGCCATTGACTTCAATGGGACTTAAGCACAGGTTGAAAGCTAAGTATATGCCTAAATACTTTGCTGACTGTAAACCACTTTGGAGATTCTGTGATCCCAAGTGCCTTCGATGGAACAACTCACATATGTTAAGACAAGGGTGTGAGGGGTCCGGGCTTAAAACTCCTTTCTCCTCTGCTTCTTTTTACACTGGGGAAATCCACACACACACAAAAAATCTGGATCAGTGTTAGATCAGCTGGGAGTATTACCCTGTAAATTTCCCAGGAATAGACATGTCCGTGATTTAATTCCAGGCCTCTCAGTTCTATAAAAAACCTCCCTTATTAATCAGTCATAGAGATGATATTTTCACCTCTCTCCTCCGCCTTTGGAATGAACTTGTTCCTACGTGTGGCAGAAATGTAGCTAACCCTCAAGCAAAACAAACACGCAGCCCTTTTAAAGGCTGTAATTTTGTAGGTGTAGAGAAAGGACATCTGTGATCATCACTATCATTAGTGTTAATGTTACACTGGCACCGGAGGTGAGGTTTCAACAGCTGCTTGGTTTGTTTATTTTACCCTAATACTGATTCCTGTGAGTGGGAAATTGTGTTTGTTTATTTCTTCTATTTTCTCAGTTTCCTTCCACTGACTTTGGGACGCACAGTGATACTTAAAGAGCTCTGGAATATAATTAATACAAAAATACACTACAATGATCGCCAGCACTGACGTGGAATTGTTCTGTCCTAGGTGGGTGTTTCCTTTTCCCCACTCCTGTCTGCTGTGGGATCACAACTGTGCTAGCGAAAACCCAGCTGCTCTCACTACAGCTGTGTTTAAACAGCTCAGAACATGGCACTGGGACTTGGGATCAATGTTCCCTCTTAATTATTTCCATCCGTGCGTGGAATACATTTTGTTACTTGCACCAAGGCATGTGTGGATGTGCACCACCAGAAGAAACACATGCTGCGGGCTATGAGCACTCTACTAATCAGCTGGGAGGCATCTGAATCTCTCCTGGGATGCTTAGGATGCCAAAAGTCTGTTCTTGACTACCACTGACTCGCTTCCTGACCTTGGGCAAGTCACTTAGCCCCATATTTTCAAAAGTGGTTGCTGTTTTGGTGTGCCCCAGTTGTTTGGCATCCCAAACTGAGAATTGAATTTGCAGAAATGTTGAGCTATCCTGGCTCAGCGCCTATGCAAATCAAGGCCTAGGGTCAAAATTTTCAAAAGAACTCAGCAGCCACGCCTGGCACTCTTCTGAAAAGCCGGCTAAAGTCAGAATGTCACTGCCTAAATGGGAGGTGAGCTCTTTTGAGAATCCGGTCCCAGGAGTTTCCAGCCAGGGCCTC